TTGCTAAGCTCCTTTTTAATAATGCAGTTCACAAAGCAGTGCAAGGTCATATGAAGAGAACTATTGCATCTTTGTTAACTTCAGCAATTACTTTGTTTCTTTAGCTTAGAGAATTACTCATAACTTGGTTATAATTTTTGCCCAAATTCTTTATTCTCTCTTGAGTGAAACTGAATAATGGAAAATAATTCTCAAATGTAGTAACACTAATACACTAACTACGATAAGATTAAGTCAGGCAGTCTTTCAATTCTACCAGATGTGTAATGAGACTGTCTCAGAATTGTGAACGCTTATACCAGAATCAGCGCTGATCTTGCAAAGCACTGTTTCAAGCGCGTAGTTGGAGAACAGGAAACAACTCCTTGCTCCTGTGGTGAGCTCTCCACTAACTAGAAGGGAGACTGTTCTGAGAGTGACCTTGCATCTAGAGAATCATGTGTCTTTAGGAGAATGTCAATATCTTGTAACAATCGGATAAGATGCAAATTAACATTCCATTGTAATCTACTTTATTAATGAAAGTGATAAAACAGTATATTGATAAGCTGGGACACTTGTGAAAACTTTGTGTCTTCTTCCGAACTTTGTTTCTGGCACAATAAGATGGGGAAGAACATTAGGTATGTGATTACTCTGGGGCCTGGGAGAACTTCTTAATTTCCTAGAGCAGTTTGTCAACTGAATGTGAAATGGGGAGCAGGTATGACAAAAGATGACACCCATAGAAAACTGCTACCTGATGACACTTGGATATGACTGTCTTAACATCACAGACATAACACTTTGAATAATATAGAGATGCATAAACAGTTGAACTTAGAAATAGCTATATTGGCTTTATGTATTAAAGGAAGCATTTAAAAAAAAAAAAAAGTAAGAATCATGCCTGTACCTACCCTGAAGCATGCATAGCACTTGGTGCATTCAATAAGTGGCTGAAACCAGTTTGGCTCAGTGGTAGAGCGTCGGTCTGCGGACTGAAAGGTCCCAGGTTCAATTCCGGTCAAGGGCATGTACCTGGGTTGTGGGCACATCCCCAGTAGGAGGTGTGCAAGAGGCAGCTGGTCAATGTTTCTCTCTCATTGACGTTTCTAACTCTCTATCTCTCTCCCTTCCTCTCTGTGAAAAATCAATAAAATATATTTTAAAAAAAGATTCAATAAGTGCACCTTGATTGGAAAAAAATAAAGCTTAAAAATACAGCAGAAGCAAATTTTTATAAACTTCCTATCCTATATAATAGAGGTAATATGCAAATTGACCATCACTCCAACATACAAGATGGCTGCCCCCATGTGGACACAAGATGCTTGCTACAAGATGGCCAGCAGGGGAGGACAGTTGTGGGTAATCAGGCCATTGGTGGAGGGCAATGAGGGGTTGACAGGGCCAGCAGAGGAGGGCAGGTGGGAGTGACCAGGCCTGCAGGAGAGAACAGTTAGGGGGGATCAGGTCTGCAGGAGAGGGCAGTTGGGGGGATAAGGCCTGCAGGAGAGGGCAGTTAGGGGCAATTATGCCAGCAGGGAAGCAGTTAGGAGTGATCAGGCTGGCAGGGGATTGGTTACGGGGTGATCAGGCTGACAGACAGGCAAGCAGTTGGGAGCAAGCAGTCCTGGATTATGTGAGGGATGTCCGACTGCCCATTTAGGTCCAATACCACCGGGCAGTCGGACATCTCTCAAGGGGCCCCAGATTGGAGAGGGTGCAGGCTGGGCTAAGGGACACACCTGCCCCTGTGCACGAATTTCATGCACCAGGCCTCTAGTATATTTGATAACATGTCATCTAAATGTTTCTGTGCTTTAATTATCACTCATCACTCCTTTTTTCTCTGTGTCCCTTTTTAATATTAAATACACCATAGATGGAAAATGAGGAAAATAAATCTAAGTAAAGCACCCCTGAAAAAAAATTTTTTTTTCTCTATTTGTTCCAATATTAAGGATAAATCTATAGCTAAACAACTTAAGGCTTTTTCAATGAGTCTTTTGCCCGATTCCCACTCAGTTTATTCATTAATTGGCTTTTTCATTATTCCTACTTTTTCACCCCTTAAATAAATACAGGATCTTTCAGAACGTTTTCTTTGCTCTACAGGTCAGGAAAAATCTCCCTGCCATTTCATTATGAAAGCACTTGGCAGGTAAACTTCTGTTATCATCTCCTTGTGTATCAAGGTCTTTAGCTTAGTCTAATGGTGTTTTGTCAAGTAAACAATTTACAGTCTATTATTTCCACTGGAAATTCCCCTTTTCAAATTGAAGAATTTCACAACAAAAAAAGGCACTGGTCAGAGAAACCCCAAGTTCTTCTTAGCATTGGTATTCAGGTTTTGCAACTTGATGGGATTGTTATTCATGTGACAAGTTAGGCGACACCAATGTATCAAATATAAAATGAAAAAATTTAGCATCAATAGTTTCATTGTTCCCACTTCCCTTGGCTGCTGACTCCCTCCCCCATCTCTTTTGTCCATAAAGTTATTGGCACCTCTGCAGGAACCTCTCCAGATCGTGCCCTCGTCCCCTCAGGCTTATCTCCATCCCTGAATCTGTCCCTTATCCCTGCCTCTTCCCATTAATGACCCTTGCTGGCTTCTTTCATTGTTTCTTTCCAAACCCCATTAACTAACTGTTCACATACTTCCTCTTTCTTCTCAAGCCTCTCAATCAGTGGCCTTCCTTTCTCCCATCCCAATCCAAAAACCAAGACTAGAGATGTGGTTGGCATACTCCTCACTGAAGTTTCCAGACCATAGCTCCAGAATATTTAATAAATAATTCTACTTACTCTGCGTATACAGGGTCTCTCAACATCCCTATGGCTGTCAGCCTCCAGGGACATCCCTCAGCTTCCTTGATGTCATTCTGACCCCACATTCCCCATTATCCTGTAGATGGAATACAATATCAAAGCTGACTGTCCAGCCAACATCCTGGCCTTCCTGCTCCTCAAGCCATTACTGTTCTCTGACTTCCTACGTCAGTCCCATCAGACACACAATCATGCCGTAGAGGTTTGTACTGATGCTGCTCTTGTAAATGGCCTTTCAGACAAGCTAGACTCAGAAGGGGTAACATTATAAACAAGCTCAATATTTATTGTCACACAACTGCCTTTGACTCCATTGAGCTCAGTCAGTCCCATCTCTTTATAAAATTTTAGGCATATCTTTTTGTTGTTGTTGTTGTTGTTACTCTTAGGTATTAAAAAATACCTTCATCTTTGATTTAATAAAACTTCATGTGTGTGTGTGTGTAAGAAAAACTTCAATTGCCATTGCAGAAAGAAACATCTAGATGAAGTAGAAATTGTTTTCAATAACATTGGTAGAGAATAGGTTCTAGAAATTGGAAGTAGCTGGCTGTAACATCCTGGAAGCGATTTAATAGGACAGTCCTGGGTGGTTAGGCTGAGGCCAGCACCTAATGAGGACGAAAGCCTGGTCTGTGGGGAGTTTTGGAGGATAATTGGAGAAATATTACTCTGCGCATAGACCAAATGGAACTGTTGTCACAAGTGTTGTAAAGTTTCATATAGTGTATGTTTTTTCTACATGCACTTCAATTTCACAGCAAGAGTGGCATAGGATGCCTAAACCCAGAAGACACATTCATGCAAGCCACCTAACGCCTTGATATAATAATGCATACAATTCAAATCATCTGGGGCTTTCTTTTTAAAAAATATATATATTTTATTGATTTTTTTATAGAGAGGAAGAGAGAGGGATAGACAGTTAGAAACATCAATGAGAGAGAATCATTGATCAGCTGCCTTTTGCACACCCCCCAATGGGGATGTGCCCGCAACCAAGGTACATGCTCTTGACCGGAATCTAACCCGGGACCCTTCAGTCTGCAGGCTGACTCTCTATCCACTGAGCCAAACTGGTTTTGGCTCATCTGGGGCTTTCTGCAACTACAAGGTGGTGGTTACGGAAAGCATGGCCCCCGGTATCAATATCTAAAAAGCAGGCACCACTTTCTTTTATGTGTGTTTCCCTTTTTGCAATTTTCTTCATTTTTCTTAATCAACTCTGCTGCTGTTGCTGCTTCTTAGCAAAACTGGTAAAAATAAAGTTGTAATAAAAAACCTTTCAATTAAATTTAAATAAAAACCTCACTGTCTCAGTTCACTAAGTGTTTCCTCTCCCCTACAGTTGAAGTTACTTCCTTCTGTCCCTTGCCCCTGTTATTGGTTAACTACTCACACATTGTGGCTGCTAGGAAGGTGAAAGGAGTGGGAGGTAATGTTCAGGGAAAAGGTGAGAAATCTCCTGACATTGATACCACTGAAATGTCTGGCTTGTAAGCCCATATTCTGGTTCTTTTTCTCTTTAGTGCTTTCATTAGTTTTCAGAAAATCCATCAACAGTTCTTTAATAAGGGTAATGTCTCTTCCCAATAACCATAAATGATTTAGCTTTCTGATGGCCTCTAGTGGTTTGATCTCACTCTTCTTAGAAGGCCTGTATGGTAAAGACCCCTTAAGACAACTCAAAATCAGCTACCCATAACTCAATAACAAAAAGACATATCGTTTAATTTTATGATCAACCGAAGGACTTGTATGCATGCATATAAGCATAACCAATCAATACAAGACACTGGTGGGGAGTGGGGGCCAGGTGAGGGCATGTACTAGGGGGTTGGGGAAGCTGGGGGGAGGTCAATGGGGGAGAAAGAGACATATGTACTACTATTTTGTAATACTTCAAACAATAAAAAAATGTTAAAAAAAATGTGGACAAAAACATTTGAGTGAATCTCCCAAGAAAATATATAAATGGCCAATAAACATATGAAAAGATGCTCAACATCAATATCATTAGTGAAATGAAAATTAAAACCAAAATCATATATCATTCTATACCCACTAGGATAGCTATTAATAAAAAATATAGACAATAACAAGTGTTGGAAACAAGATGGAGAGACTAGAACTCTCATACACTGCCTTCCCATTGTTGGTAAGAGGATATAATGGAATACCACTTTTGGAAAGTCTGGCAGTCCTTGAAAAGATGAACAAAGAGTTACATAAGATGCAGAAATTCTACTCCCAGGTATATACCCAAGATGTTGAAATCAGTCATGCAAACAAAATTTTGTTATGCAAATGTTTATATATTATTTTATCCAATCAAGCGTTATTTATATTATCAGAAAATTGGGAACAACCCAAATCTCTCTCAACTGATGACCAAATAAATAAAAGATATCAATATAATAGTATATCCATATATCGGAATATTATTCAGTAATAAAAAGTAATGAAACACTGATTTATGCTATAAAATAGATAAACCTTGAAAACATTATGTAAGTGAAAGAAACCAAGCCAAAAAAAAAAAAGGGGGGGGGGGGTAAAATATGATACAATCCCAGTTATATGAGATGCCCCAAAAAGGAAAATCTATAAAGACAGAAAGTAGACTTGTAGTTGCCTATGATTGGGGGTGGGAGAAATGAGTAGAACTGCTAATGGGTACAGGGTCTCTTTTAGGGAAGATGAAATATTCTACAATTAGATATTGGTGATGATTACACAGTTCTGTGAATACAGTAATATATTGAGTTATACACTGAGTAGCCAGATTATTATGATATCTGAATGCATAATAATATGGCCACTCCATGTATATACATATATATTAGAGGCCCAGTGCATGAATTCCTGTCTGGGTGGGGTCTGGTCAGCCTGGCCAGGAGGAGGGGACATGGGCATTGGCCAGCCTGCCTGAGGGTTGCACTCCTGGTCTAGGGGACAATTTGCATACTAACTTTTTATTATGTAGGATATACACTTAGTGGCCATTTTATTATGCGTTCAGAGATCATAATAATCTGGCCACTCGGTGTACATTTTATTTAAAAGGGTGATTTTTGTGGTAAAATAAACCTATGAAGAAGGATGGAGAAGAGAAAGGAGACAAGGAGGGGGGGAGAGAACAGTTACTATATCAGGTCCATTTCACTGCCACCGTGGTCCTTTCTCCTTATTCTCACCATTCACCCTCCAACAATGTCTCATAGACTTTTTTTTTTCTTTCTTTTTCTTTTCAGGAACAACTCAGGAATCAGTTATCTCAAAGTGATTCTTTTGACATCTCCCTCACTTTCTGTTTGGGAATGGGGACGGGGAGACCATCTCTTTACTTTCTGTCATGGAGATGTAGCACACTAATTCTCCAAAGAAGTCCTTACAGTGTATGAGAAGTCATGAATTGTTAGCTGCTTCTTAAGAAGCAGGTAATGGGTTAGTGGTGTAGAATGGAATTGGAACCGCCCTCCTTGCAAGTCCATCATAGATAGTGCAGTGTGTGGCTAAACCAGGGATCAGCAAACTTTTGTGTAAAACCATAGGCAATAAAGATTAAGGCTTTATGGTCTCTACAGTCTCTGTTGTAACTCTTAAAACTGCCAAAGTAATGCAAAATCAGTCATAGACAAAACATAAGTGCACAGGCACTCGTATGTCCCAATAAAACTTTAATGACAGGAAAAGTTTGCCTACCCCGCTCTGGACCTATGCTTCCTGAACTTTAATGTGCATGTGGATCTCTTGGGAATTGTGTTAAAATGCACATTCTGATTCAGTCATTCTCGGAGAAGCCTGAGATTCTGCATTTTTAACAAGCTCCCAAGTGAGGATGATGACACTGGTCTATGGACCACGACTTGAGTATCAAAGATCCAGGTAACACAGGGTTCAGCCAGGATTTGTCTATGAATCCTTGTAGATAAGATAGAAAAAATGTGGCCTCATCAGCAACTTCAGCTCGTTATCTCTCTGCTCCTGGCAACCATCAACCAATCAGCAACAGTTGAAGAATAGAGGGCATGCAAATACCAAACAAAATGATTCTTGATGTTTGTGATTCCATTGCTTCAAGTTATCAGCATTGCCTGTACCTGAACAGTCATCAGTTTGAAAATGAACTGTAGGTTAATAAACACTCACTTTATAGTCATTCAAAATGTGTATACATTTTTTAGGACACCCTATACGTGGAATCTAATGAACAAAATAGAAACAGAGGCATGGATAGATGGAATAGACTGACAGCCGTCAGAGGGGTTGGGTGGCTGGATGAAAGAAGTGAAGGGATTAAGCAAAAACCTAGGTATATATATCACTCTGACACAGACAACAGGTGGTGATAGCCAGAGGGAAAGGGAAATAAGAAGTAGGTGGAGCTGGGCAAGGAGTAGGAGTAGTGCGGTGAGGGATGGTAATAGACTTTGCTTTTAGGCGAAGGCCACACAATGCATTGGGAAGATGATGTTTTGCTGAGCTGTACGCATGAAACTTGTATGTTTTGTGAACCAATATCACCCCAATAAATTCAGTTAAAAATGTTTGCTAAGAAATTTTATCTCATAGGGGTAAGGCAAAAAGGTTGCAAGAGGCCAAAGGTGCAAACATCCAGTTATAAAATAAGTAAGCCATGGGGATGTAATGCACAGCATGGTGACTATCCTATATAATAAAAGGCTAATATGCAAATAAACCCAATGGTGGAACAACAAACGACCGGTTGTTATGACGGGTGCTGACCACCAGGGGGCATGCACAGAACATGGTGGGCATCGGTCGCAACGAGATGGTGGAGCAGGTGAGCGGGATTGTCAGACCAAGGCAGGGTGCCTGTCGCTATCATCAGGGTGGTTATTGAAAATTCTTAGCACCTGCATGCTATGGTCCTGCCTAGGGCTCACACCTGCTGCTGGTGCTGGCCCCATTTGTACCCACTGCCAATGCTGGAGCCACACTTGCACCTGACGCTGTGCCTGGTGCTCTGGCCCCAATCGCTCAGCACCATCAGTGGGTGCGAGCCATGGCTGCTGGCCCTGTTCGCTCCTGAGGGTTTCTCCACCTCTCCCTGCTCCTGACGGGTGATGGCCCCTACAAGAGGGGCACACACTATCAGTGCGTGGGAGCTGTGGCAAGGGCGGAGCTGCAGGCAGACAGGGGACCGGGGCTGCAGCAGGAGGGGCCGGGCGGGAGGCTTGGAGGATGGACTGAGACCTGCCCCATGCCCACCTCAGCCTCACGACCCACAGTTTCTTTCAAGGTGCACAAATTTGTGCACTGGGCCCCTAGTAGTTAATAATACTGAAAATACTGAACTGCATATTTGAATGTTGCTAAGAAAGAAAGATCTTAAAATGTCTCATCATAAGAAAAAAAAGTGAGAAATATGTATGGTGATGGATGTTAACTAGGCTTACTTCAGTGAATATTTAATAATATATATAAATATCAAATCACTGTGTTGTATACTTGACACTAATATATGTCAATTATTTTTTAAATGTATTTTTTATTGATTTTGTACAGAGAGGAAGGGAGAGAGATACAGAGTTAGAAACATCGATGAGAGTCATCAATCAGCTGCCTCTTGCACACCCCCTACTGGGGATATGCCCACAACCAAGTACATGCCCTTGACCAGAATCGAACCCAGGACTTTTCAGTCTGCTGGCTGACGCTCTATCCACTGAGCCAAACTGTTTTCGGCCTATTATTAACTCTTGCATTAGTATGGTACACCTACTATAAGTAGTGAACCAATATTGATGCATATTATTAGCTTATATCCAAAATTTACTCATATTTCCATTTTTACATGATGTCCTTTAGTTTTTATTTATTTTTTTACCCAATTCCTTATTTTTTACCCAATTTTTCAGTTGCGGGTAAAAAATTGGGTAAAAAATAAGAAATTGGGTAAAAAATTAAAAACTTGGTTGCGGGCACATCCTCGGTGGGAAGGGTGCAGGAGGCAGCTGATCGATGATTCTCTCTCATCGATGTTTCTAACTCTCTGTTCCTCTCTCTTCCTCTCTGTGGGAAATCAATAACATATATATATTTTTTAAAAAGAGTTAATAATAGGAAAACTGGGTGTGGGGTATAATCTTTGTACCCAAATTATTCTAAAGCAAAAATGTTATTTAAAAAATTTTTGAAGACCCTAGCTGGTTTCGCTCAGTGAATCCAGCGTCAGCCTGCAGACCAAAGAGTCCAGGGTTCTATTCTGGTCAAGGGCACATACCTCGGTTGCAGGCTTCCCCCGGCCCGGGCCCTGGTTGGGCCTCATGCAGGAGGCAACCAATTAATGTGTTTTTCTCACACGGATGTTTCTCTCTGTCTTTCCCTCTCTCTTCCACTCTTTCTAAAATTCAATGGGAAAATATCCTCAGCTGAGGATTAACAAAAACGAGAGAGAAAAATAAAAAAGAGAAAGGTTGTTTTTTCTAGTCTAAGCCCCTAATAATAAATTATTAAAGAAAATGAATATAAATGGTCTATTATAACCTTTGCTATGATGAACCCTTGAGTTCATGCCATAGAATTACTTTACAAATAAAATCATTGTAGGGTAAGCCAAAACTGGTTTGGCTCAGTGGATAGAGCCTCAGCCTCTGGACTGAAGGGTCCCAGGTTCGATTCCGGTCAAGGGCATGTACCTTGGTTGCGGGCACATCCCCAATAGGGGGTGTGCAAGAGGCAGTTGATCCATGATTCTCTCTCATCGATGTTTCTAGCTCTCTATTCCTCTCCTTTCCTCTCTGTAAAACATCAATAAAAAATATATAATAAAATAAAATAAAATCATTGTAGGGTAAGTTTTTGTTAGTGCCTGAGTAACCTAATGTCCAAAACCACATCCCTCCCCTTGCCAAAAAAATGGGTGGGCCCCTAGGTCACACTGAACTTGAACAGATAACAGCTTCATCACAGTCCAATTTATTGCCCATTTTGGTACTGGCTGAAACCTATTGCTACTTATGCTGTTAATCATCGGATTTTCTTGGGGGAAAAGTCTTTCTCAATGTAATAAAAATGCCATACAGTTCAAACTCTAGATTGCAATAAGCAATTCTAAAAAATCCAATATGCTCCCCATTGCAAAAGGAACTAAATAGGTAAGAAGCTTGTACACATAAAATAAAGTGTTGGTTTAATATGCTAACCACATTTTTTCCTGTTCCATTTCCCCCCCCCTCAATTTAGGTGCTAAGTTAAAGTTATAGACTGTCTAATACCAGTGTTCAATTAGAAAGTAGAATCCCTATAACTTTTACTTTAGTTGCTTGATTCTAATATGCAAAACTAGAATTTTTTTCAAAAAATGCTGCAAATAAAATAATATGATACTATGCTTTCACAGATTATTGCCTTCAGGTAGAATTTAATTATCATTAGTAGTGTTTGGAATTTCTTAGTTAGAAAACCAAAATATAACAGCATCTGCCATGTCCCAGGCCCTGTGTTGAACATGGGAATACAGTGGTGGCCAGAACAGACGCAGGCCCTGTCCTCTTGGGGCAGGATGACATTAGCCAAGTAACCATGTAAGATTACGCGAGCAACTTGACTGAGCTGTCTCAACAACGTGGGCAGAAGCATAAAACTATTTTATCTTACCAGTAAGTGTTTCCAGTTCTGCTATCTCTCTCTCTCTCTCTCTCTCTCTCTCTCTCTCTCTCTCTCTCTCTCTCTCTCTCTCTCTCTCTCTTAAAAGAAAAATATATATATATATATTTTTTTTTAATTGATTTTCTACAGAGAGAAAGGGAGAGAGATCGAGAGCCAGAAACATCGATCAGCTGCCTCCTGCACATTCCCTACTAGATGTGCTGCAACCAAGGTACATGCCTTGACCGGAATTGAACCCAGAACCCTTCAATCCGCAGGCCAATGCTCTATCCACTGAGCCAAACCGGTTTTGGCAAGTTCTGCTCTCTTAATTCTCCTTTTCACTGGGTACACAAACCCATAATATCTTCTTAGTCTAGTCTGTCCCTTTCAGTTATTAAAACAGAATGTTTTTGCTTAAGACTCAGTTCTACTTATTTTATTTTATTTTTATTGTGTTATAGTTGAAATATCAAATAATGATTTGATATTTGTATTACTACAATTTGATCACCACAGTAAGTCTAGTTACATTGGTCACCATATAAAGCTACAAGTCTTTTTCTTATGATGAAAAGTTTTATGATTATTCTCTCCACAACTTTCAAATATGTAATATGACATTATTACTTTGGGTAGTATAGACATTTTAACACATTAATTCTTCCAATACATGATCACAGAATATCTTTCTATGTAACTGTGTCTTCTTCAGTTTCTTTAATCAGCATCTCATGATCTTAAGTGTACAGCTCTTTCACCTTCTGAAATTGATCTCTAGGTATTTTTTTAAAAACATATATTTTATTGATTTTTTACGGAGAGGAAGGGAGAGGGATAAAGAGCTAGAAACAGCTGCCTCCTCTGCACACCCCCTACTGGGGATGTGCCTGCAACCAAGGTACATGCCATTGACTGGAATCGAACCCGGGACCTTTCAGTCCTCAGACCGACGCTCTATCCATTGAACCAAACCAGTTTTGGCTGATCTCTAGGTATTTTATCCTAAAAAAAAAAAACACAAAACAAAAAACAAAAACAACAACAACAAAAAAAAAAAACAGAGAAGGAAGAGAGAGAAACATCAAAGATGAAAGAAATCAATCGGACACCTCCCACACACACCACCCTGAAGATGGATCGGGAATTGAATCATGATCTCCTGGTTTATAGGTCAACACTCAACCACTGAGCCATGCTGGCTGGATGGTATTTTATCCTTTTTGATGCATTTGTAAATGCAATTGTTTTTGATAGTCCATTGTTAGTGTGTAGAAATGCAACCAACTTTTGCATATTGATTTTGTACCCTGCAAATCATTTACTTATTAGTTCTGACAGGTTTTTTGGTGTAGTCTCTAGAGTTTTCTATATGTAAAATTATGTCATCTGCAAATAGTGATAGTTTTATACTTATTCCTTTCAAATGTGTATGACTTTTATTTCTTTTTTTTCCCCATAATTTTTCTAGCTAGGATTTTAAATACAATGTTGAATAAAAGTGACAAGTGTAGGCATCCTTATTCTGCTCCTGAACTTAGAGGAAAAGCTTCAGCTTTTTACCATTGAGTATGATTTAGCTGTGGGTTTGTCATACATAGTCTTTATTATCTTGAAGTATGTTCCCTCTTCACCAATTTCACTAAAAGGTTTTTTAAAATCATAAGTGGATAGTGAATTTTGTCAAATGCTTTTCCTACATCTATTGAGATGACCATAATTTTTATCCTTTATTTTGTTAAAGTGGAGTATCAAATTGACTGATTTGTGAATGTTGGACCAGCCTTGCATCCCTGGGATAAATCTCAGTTGATCATGGTGTACGATCCTTTTAATGTATTATTGAAATTGGCTTGCTAATATGTAGTTGAGAACTTCTGCATTTCTGTCCACCCAGGATATTAGCCTGTTGCTTTCTTTTCTTATGGTGACCTTGTCTGGTTTTGGTATCGGGGTGATGCTGGTCTCATAAAGTGAATTTGGAAGCACTCTGCTTCAATATTTTTGGAAGAGTATGCGAAAAATAGGTATCAAATCTTCTTTGAATGTTTGGTAAAATTTACCTGTAAATTCATTTGGTCCTGGACTTTTGTTTGTTGGGAGATTTTATTATTATTGGTTCAATTTCCTTACTAGTAATTGGTCTGGTCAGATTTAAAATTTCTTCCTGATTCAGTTTTAGGAGAGTATATGTTTCTAGGAATTTATCTATTTATTCCAGGTTGTCCATTTTGTTAGTGTGTAATTGTTTATAGAAGTTTCTATGATCCTTTGTATCTCTATAGTATCAATTGTAGCTTCTCCTCCTTCATTTCTGATTTTATTAATTTGAGCCCTCTCTCTGTTTTGTAGTAATTATTAAAGCTGAACATATGCATACCTTATGACACAGCAATTACACTTCTAGATATACACTCAACAAAATGAGCATATCCCAAAAGGCACAATAAGGTTCATAATTGCATTTTCACAATAATTAAAAGTGAAAAGAAATAGTATAAATTTAGTAAAATGGATAAATTGTGGCATTCATAAAAAGGAATACTTTGCAGCAAGTAAAAGAGACAGATTCCTGCTATATGCAGCATGAATGAATTTCATAAAATTATATTGAGTAAAAGGAGTCAGAATTTTAAAAATTCATAATGTAGAAGGCCATTTACCTGAAGTTCAAATGTAGAGAACATTAAATGATGGTGCTAGATGTCAGGATAATAATAACTCTTGGGGACAAATGGTATATAATGGTGGGAGAATGGGATGTAGCCAATATTCTCTCTTGATCCAAAAATGTTCATTGAACGTTACCCTTATAACCTGTACAGTCCACTGAGAAGTACATGAATTACACTTCAACAAAATAATTAAAAAAAAAAGACAATGCAATTCCTTCTTTAAAAAAGTGAATTGTTATATAAAAACTGTGTTCAAAGAAGCTTATTTAACACGTGTGCCTCAGAAGTTAAACATAGCCCTGGGGGAAGCGTGACATTTCATTTGGAGCAAACTTACCAATTATTTAGCTGGTTTTCAACGTTAAGTGTTCTTTGCATGTACAAAAGTAAAGTGAGAACTGTCAACGTGTTGGCTCAAATAGCAGAAAAAGAACTTCTCAACGTGTTAAATTGTGTCAGTTTTACATCAAAGTCTTCGGATGCTCCAGAGAGAAAGGTTAAGATCAACAATAGCTCATTGTTTTCTTCCATTGTAGGAAATTAAGGTTAAAAGTTCATTATGATGAAAGCAAAATAGTGTTAGCTCTTGTTAATGTGAATGTTATTGTAAATTTAGTTTAAATTTCAACAGTGAAGATAAATTTACTTACATTTTGTAGTTATAATATTTTGGTTTAATACATGTAAGTATATGATATTTTATGGCAAGTATTTTTGAGATAGAACTATTTTTTAGATATATCAATATAACAAAACTAAGTGTTACATAGTTAATAAAT